TACCAGCCACCTTCAGTCTCTTGATGAATATCAAAGAACTAGATATCAAGTTCAACCAGCTGACTGCCATTGATGTCATCTCGGAGTTGCCAAAACTTGAAACATTATCGGCCGACCACAATATGGTGTCCCAGTTTGTAGGCAGCTTTGAGCGCGTGAGAACGCTCAAATTGAACTCCAACCCGATCACCAAGTTCGAGCTTGTTGGATCTGTGCAGACACTGAAAGTGCTAAACCTATCCAATGCTCAGCTTGCCAGCATAGACGGGTCCTTCAACAACATGCCCAATCTAGAGCGTCTAGTCTTGGACCGGAACTACTTTGTCTCACTTCCAAGTCAGATCGGCAATATGAGGAGATTAGAGCACTTCAGCATAGCTGACAATTCAGTGGGCGAGCTCCCATCCGAAATAGGCTGCTTGACGGAGCTGCGCGTTCTCGATATTCGGGGCAACAATATCAGGAAGCTGCCGATGGAGTTGTGGTGGGCAAACAAACTTGAGACTCTCAACGCTTCCTCGAATGTTCTGGACAACTTCCCCAAGCCGGCTTCTCGGCCGCCTCAAATGCCTAATGAGCCCCCACCGGCGCCATCTTCGAATGGCTTGGCAAAGCAGTCTACTGGGACTTTGTCGCACCCACCATCCATGGAAGATCTTTTACCAGACGGCACTCGAAGGCCCAGCCACTCTTCCAGTACACTTTTAAGTGTCGGACCCTCCCCAGTTCCCGCGGGGCCTGACCGTAAGAGTTCTGTTGTGTCAGTTTATGGCAAGGGCGGTCGGAAGACTTCTGTTGTGTCTCGGAGTACGACTGCAGGTAGCGCTCATGGCACGATGAATGCATCTCAAACAACTAGGAAGGACTCTGGACTATCAGGTCGGCTAACAAACACGTTTGCTGGTACTCTCAAGAACTTGTATCTCGCGGACAACCAGCTTGATGACGATGCATTTGATCAAATTATGCTCCTGAGCGAGCTCCGAATCCTGAACATGTCCTATAACGATCTCAGCGACATGCCGCAGAGGAGTATCAAGAGTTGGCCACAGCTTGTGGAGCTATATCTGTCTGGAAATGACTTGACAGCCTTGCCTGTGGACGAATTGGAGGAATTCAGCCTGCTTCAAGTTCTGCACATTAACAACAACAAGTTTACGAATCTTCCGGCGGACATCTCGCGAGCTAAGAAACTCGCAGTTTTCGACTGTGGCAATAATTCGCTCAAGTACAATATTGCCAACGTGCCCTACGACTGGAACTGGAACCTGAATCCTAACCTCAGATTTCTCAATCTTTCTGGCAACAAACGGCTCGAGATCAAGCAACAAAACACGAGTCCCGCGGGGCCAAGTCGTGATGAGCAGTATACGGACTTCAACCGGCTCCTTAACCTCCGAGTTCTGGGCTTGATGGACGTGACGCTGACGCAGCCAAGTATTCCTGATCAGAGTGAGGATCGACGTGTTCGGACCTCTGGCTCTCTCGCCGGACATCTCCCATACGGCATGGCGGATACGCTTGGAAAGTACGAGCATTTGTCTACTGTCGACCTGGTAGTGCCAAGGTTCAATTCATCGGACTCCGAGACACTTCTAGGCCTGTTTGATGGCGAGGCCCTCTCAAGTGGTGGTTCCAAGATCGCCAAATATTTACACGAAAATTTCGGTCGAATCTTTACCACTGAGCTCAAGGCACTCAAAACTCGACAGAACGAGGGCCCCAGCGATGCGCTGCGGCGCGCTTTCCTCAGTCTAAACAAAGATTTGGTGACCCTCACCTTAGAACATGGCGGGAAGCGACCAAAGACTTCCCGGAGCTCAGCCCCTTCCATTGCTTTGAGCAAAGAAGATCTCAACTCCGGTGGGGTAGCCACTGTGGCCTATCTTCAGGCACAAGACCTCTATGTCGCCAACGTTGGTGATGCACAAGCGATGCTCATTCAATCCGACGGCTCCCATCGAATCCTGACGCATAAGCACGACCCAGCGGAACCTACCGAGCGTCAGCGAATCCGTGATGCTGGCGGCTGGGTTTCCCGAAATGGCAAGCTGAACGATTCGCTTCAGGTGTCGCGTGCTTTTGGATTCGTCGATCTGATGCCTGCCGTGCAAGCAGCTCCCCATATCACAAAGGCTACGATTGGAGTACAAGACGAGACCCTGCTTATCGCGACCAAGGAGCTTTGGGATTACCTGACGCCTGGACTGGTGGTCGATGTTGCTAGACAGGAAAGAGGCGATCTGATGCGCGCCTCACAGAAGCTGCGAGATCTCACCATAGCGTACGGGTCAACCGGTAAAATCATGATCATGATGATCAGTGTAGCCGACCTCAAGCGTCGGCAAGAACGTTCCGCGCGTCTGCACCGGGGCCAAAGCATGTCACTCTACCCATCTGGGATCCCTGATGAGTTTCAGTATGTTCCAAAGCGAGGCCGGAAACTCAAGGGCGAGGTACAAGACTCGACACTGCACAGACTTGAAGCCGAGGTCCCTGCACCCACAGAGAAGCCGTCTATCGCTTTCACTGATATTAAGAACTCGACTAATCTTTGGGAGATGTACCCTTCTGCCATGCGCTCCGCCATTAAGTTGCACAACGAAGTTATGCGCCGGCAACTTCGGCGCATTGGTGGTTATGAGGTCAAGACAGAAGGCGATGCCTTCATGGTTTCTTTCCCAACAGCGACTTCTGCGCTGCTATGGTGTTTTGCAGTTCAGACACAGCTGCTTGAGGTGAACTGGCCTCCCGAGATTCTTAATTCCGTTTCTGCCCAGGAGGTCTACGACAAAGACAACAATCTCATCTTCAAAGGTCTTTCTGTCAGAATGGGTATCCACTTTGGTGAACCCGTGGCCGAGATTGACCCTGTCACACGGCGCATGGACTACTTTGGCCCCATGGTTAACAAGGCTTCACGTATCTCGTCTGTTGCGGATGGCGGACAGATTACTGTCTCGGCCGACTTCATTTCCGAGATCCAACGTTGCCTCGAGACCTACCAAGAGAATGACCACAACAGCTCTGTGGGATCTGAAGACACATTTGACGATGACGCCACCGCCATAGTGATTCGGAAGGAGCTCAAGTCACTTAGCTCGCAGGGCTTTGAGGTTAAGGAGATGGGCGAGAAGAAGCTCAAGGGGCTTGAGAACCCCGAGATCATCTACACACTCTATCCTCATGTACTGGCTGGCAGATTTGAGCATCACAGCCAACAAGCGGCACCGACCGTAGCGAAAGGAACGCCTGCGCAGCTTCGACCTGGTGTTGAGCTTGGCTTTGACCCAGATATCATCTGGGCACTCTGGAAAATCAGCTTGCGCCTCGAGATGCTATGCAGCACTCTGGAGGAAGCTTCTGGCAGTCCCTTGCAACCACCAGAAACTGAATGGTTGGACAGGGTGAGAGAACGCGGAGGCGAGGTCTCCGAGCGATCGATCACTATGTTCCTGGAGTCCCAAGTAAGCCGCATCGAGGTATGTAACACCACCAATCAATCCCATTTGCGAGACTAAACATTCAAAAACTAACAAGATTCACATATAGACTTGTGTGACCACGTTGTCGATGCGACACATTGCCACAGGTCGCGCGCAGCTCAACCACCTTGAAGACCTGCGAGCGCCCATGTCAGAGATCCTGGACGGGCTCGCGTCCCAGCTTGCAGAGCTGGAACGATACAAGGCTAAATTTGGACTCCTCGAAGACTACGATAACGACACAGACAGCGACACAGCATGATGGCGCGTCAAGACGCTTACCAAGTCACACGTGCTCTTGGTGTATTCGTGACCTATCCACAACACAGATGTCTCAGTTCTGTATGCCTCCGTCGCTATCACCTGTATCTGAAAGCTTAGGTCAGGAGGAGTAGCGATTTTAGCTAGAGGGGGAAGAAGTGAGCAAGCTAGGAAAGGCTTGCACCATGTGGCTCGTTTCAGCTCCTGCCAATATTAGCATGTATCGATTTTGCTGTGCTTTTCTAAATCCTATAAGTCGGGGCATGTGGCGTTTTAGGAGTATTTATTGATTCTACTAGCTTTGGGGCACGGAAATGAAGTGAGGCTGGGGATTCCTGGTACTTTGGGACGAGACAACTGGGGACAGGAAACGCTGGCACGACTTCCCCATAACAAAAAACTATCTATTATACTTTTAATCTTGAGCTACACGTTAATCTTGCCAACTGTCCTTTGTCCTGCTTACGTTGAGACCATTGTAGCTTTGCACTCGTCAAAATTGAGGCCCCGTCAGCCCATCGTGGATTGGTGAAGTGAAGTGCTATGGCCGGAATTCGCTCTGACCCAACTGTCCGCCGGCCGCCTGAACTTAGAAGCAAGCCACGACATGGGAATGCTCAAATTTAACCTGAGCAAATGTATGCTCTCTAGAAACAAGGCGATGGGTTCGGGTGGATCAGAGTTGGCACTTAGCAAATATCAGAGCATCTGGAACACATGTTGGGACTGTAATAGGGGTTCGCGTTTAGATCACCTTGCCAGTTTGTTCACAACCAAAGAGTAGTCAGCTCGTGGACATCAGGGTCAGGGCTCTTCATGTAGTTCACTACATTTCTATTTCTTCACCTCACATGGAGTCGACATGACGGTGTACTACGGACATGTATCATGTCAGAAATGCACACGGTCGCCCCTATCAGAACAAGTACATATCGGAGGCAAGGCAGGCCACCGCAGAAACGAACAAACGGACAAATGGACAAACGGACTGCTTCGGAACAACAAAAGATCCGGAACATTGCAGCTCTCAGGGCGCCCAGGCAGCCAGGCACACACATCAAGGCCTCATAGGCCCGGATAGCCAGCCGTCCCTCCAAGAAACGGGAGGTAGAGGAGCGAGCCTGCTCTGCCCTTTTCCTTCCGTGATGGCGCAGTCTGTTGACTGCAGCGTCGCTCTGGCCTCCTCGTAGCGTCTGAAAATTCAGCGTTTGGGGGTCGGGGCGGCGTGACATCTGGCCCTCTTTTTCCACCATCGCGGCCATGGAGTAGTAGTCAACTCGTTTCCCTCCCAAGGAAGAAACGCGGGTGCAAATCCCGCTGGCCGCATATTTTTGCTTTGCTTTTGGTCATTTTTGGACCCCTTTTTGGACTTTTACATGGGAGACGGTCTTGTGATTGCATCGTGATGGGTTGGTGATGACCTCGACACACCTGAACCACTCATAGCTCCGAGTGACGCCGGGGTACATAACTCCCAGCCGCCTACACGTGCCTTTTGCGGATGAATCACTCTCAAGCTCCTTACCTTGACCTAAACATCTATAGGGCTTAATATTATTTTTATCGAGTATGGTCCTAGTAGCCATTAAGATCCTTCTGTTCTGCTTCAGCGTGGGCCACAGGTGTGGTCGCCTCAGTCCGTTCTCGTTCTCAATTAACAAGTAAATAAATTCATACCAGATATATCGTTTTTTCAACTGCTAGCATCCACATAGCCGCTTCACTCTTCTTCTCGGCACAACGAGGCCGCCTTGCAGAGAACATCAGTGTAAATAGAGTTGATGAGGTAGCATGTGGTTATGCAGACGTCCATCTCCGAGGACAAGGAAGACGGCCCCCCTCCCAACGTCTAGTTTGTGTGAAATCATGACCTGAACAGCATTAACAAAAAATTACCATAGACAGGAACGCTGCCAAACCGCAGATACACAAGCCTTTGCTTTGCAACTTGAACTAAGGAATGTAGGTCCAGACGATTGTCGGACCAAGTCACACGCCACGTGCAAGTTTGCTGTTGACACATCCAGGAAAGCACAAAACGTATGAGGGCGAAGATGCCATATCAATCTTTCATTGAAATTATGCGATGGGTATATAAAACAGCATCAACCCCGGCCTAGACAAGTTGCCGTACAAAATGTCTATGAACTCAAAAAGCAAGCCAGGTTTGGCACAACACAACATTGCCATGTTCCCAGTATAGAAAATGACAACCACTGCTAACATGAAGATACAACCAAGATCGCTTCGCTCTCGATGTCCAGAAATACTAAGCCAAATGCTATGATTGCGAACGACCAAAAAGAACGATGCCAATATTTTCCAAGAAACAATAATCAAAAAAGTCATCCGATAATTTTGCTTCGACGTGCTTTCTGTATCCTTTCTCGCCTTGCTATCGTATGGAGCCAGCCCTAATTTGCGTTTCTCATTTATCTCATCTCGTTGCATTCTCGTGGTGGTTTCTGGCAGGCCTGGGTCCCCGCACTCTTATCCTCGGATCTTTTTCCACCATCTGCTCTTGGACGGCGGCGCTGCAACGTGCTCGGGCGCATAGACCGGCTCGCGCTGCTGCTGCTGCTGTTGCTTCTCGCCGCTCCCCTCGGACCTCCCGCTGCGGCGCTCCCGCTCCGTCTGCCGCTCCCGCTCTGCGTGGCGTGCACGGCGTCTGCGCTGCTCGTCGGCCTCAGACATGTCACCGGGGTTGCTCCGCTCGCTACGTTTCCGAGCAGCGCGGCGTGCCGCTCTTCGCGCCTCGTCGTCGTCGGTAACAAATGGTGCATCAGTTTGCGACGGCGCGCCTCCATCATCTGGGGGCGGGCCCGCGTCAGAGGTGTCCTTGACCCAGGAGCTGGTGCCCGAGTGCGGCCAAGCTGGCGGGCGGTTCTGACTGCTTCGTGGAGCTGGAGGCGGTGGCATTGGCGCGTCGGGTACGGTGTAGATATACTCGCCCGCAGCAGCGCCTGAGCTAGATCGCATGCGGCCCTCCTTCTCCGCACGACGCATCTCGCGCCTGCGTTGCCGCTCCTCGTCGTCCTCGGGGTCGATAACGCGGGAACGACGCTTCTCCTCGCGGCGCGCACGGCGGGCATCCGCCTCGGCCTCCTCGACGGCGACACGGGCATTTTCCTTCTCGAGCTTGCGCAGTCGCCTGCGCTCCTCGCGCTCGGCCTCCTTGGCCGCCGCGCTGTCATCTTCAACAGGCCTGGCAGATTTCCTCCGCGCAGCTCGCCGCTCCTCTCTCTCTTGTTCGCGGCGAACCTCTGCCTCATCAGCCTCCTTTTTGCGTCGTTCGCGCCTCGACTCCTTTTCGGCGCGACGAGCGTCTTCCTCATCCTGGACTTCCTCAGCCCTCCTCGCTCGGCGAGCCGCACGACGAGCCTCCTTGTCCGCTTCGGTTTCTGCGCCGAAATCTCCTTCACGTGACGAACGAGGGTGTCTGGATCTCCTCTCGGCTCGGCCTTCGTCATCCGTGGTTCCGTATGTGTTGCTGCGACGACGGCCTTCTGGGCGCGGCTCGGGCTTAGAACTAGACATCATTCCACCAAATGCGCCAGTGAGTCCCGCAGCCTTTCGAGCACTGCTGGAGGCGGAACGGCCAAAGGGGGGTCGAGTCGGCACGTCGGGCGCGTCGACGAATACTGCCCCGTCGTCTTCGGGGGCTGCGCGCGAGCGTCTGCGCGACGACTTCTCCCGTGAGGGCTCGGCATCTGCGGCATCACCAAAAACCATGCCATCTGCTTCTATATCGGCGGCCTGTGAGCTCCGGCGCCTCGAGCTTGATCCGACGCCTAAAATCTTTGCTGCTTTTGAAGACATCCCGGGCATTTCCTCTGGTGGCGGAGACGCGAGGCCGCCAGACATTTCGGCAGTGTGCCGGCGAGATCCCAACTTGTGCCTGCTGCTGCGCTCTTCGCGGGAAGACATGGTCCGCGAGATCGGTGGTTTACTCATCAGAAGACTGTCCATGCGGTTCTTCGTGGGGGATTCGTTCTTGTCGCGCTTCTCGTCAGAGCCCGATTCCCGAGGTGACATCTCTTCGACTTCTCTCCTGCTCGGTCTCCTTTCCGATGGCCTGGTCTTGGAAGAGCGCTCCTTCTCCGGCTTGCGAGGGGATGGTTGAGCAGCGGACCATGCTCCCCAAGAGGCGCCACCTTCGCGACTGATTTTAGGGCGCTCTTTCCTTGGAGACTTGTTTTCTTGAGGTGGGGTCGGTGGCGCGTCCGGAACAGCCGGCGGCGCCATAGGCACCTCAGGAGGCGGAGGAGGGGCACCATCGTCTTCGATTACGACCTCGCGCGTCTTTCTGCTCTTCCGAGACCTCTTCTTCTCACCAGGCGGCGACAGGTCGACAATCTCGACAATCTCGTTGTCGTCGTCCATGGGGAAGCTTCCAGGCAAGTCGGAGGATTCTGCAGGAGTCGCGTCGGCATTGAGCATGGCATCTGCATCGCCTTCGGGCTCGACGAGCTTGCCCTTCCTCTTAAGTCTTCGCCTTTCCTTGTCAGAAAGCTGAGGTGGCGCATCGGGAGCAGGTGGTGGTGGTGGTGGTGGTGGTACAGCAGGCAGCACATCTAGATTGACAAGGTGGTCAGTTTGGTTCACAGTAGGTTTGGATGAATCGGAAGTCTGTATAGCCCTCTATTGCTTCTTTCCCGAGCGCTCAGGGATTCCTCAGCAGTACTGGTCTCTAGGTCAAGATGATCCTGACCTGAGAAGGGGTTCATCCCATCTCGGAGAGAGACGGCAGTCACCATCCCCGTGCAGCGCAGACGAACTACGTTTGTAGTGCGGAAGCTTGGCATTCGTGGGGAAGCTGACTGACAAGCGGTAACATCCGCAAAGAAAACCCTGCTGCGACCGTGTGTCGGCGCAGCCAGATGCAATGAGAACATGACGCAACAGTAGGAAATTCGTAAAGACTCACCCTTGTCTCGGGACCGGTACTTCTTGCTCTTGCGTTCGCGCCGTTCGCGCTCGGCTTGCTCGTCAGCTTCGCGAATCGCTCGAGCTCCGGCTTCTGCTTCAGCTTCAGCGGCAGCAGCAGCAGCAGCAGCAGCAGCAGCAGCAGCAGCTGCTGCTGCTGCGTCTTCGGCTGCCGCCGCATCCTCAGCCTCAACATCCTCAACAGCAGTTTCTTCCTCTTCCTCCTCCTCTTCCTCCTCCTCTTCCGGATCTGCCTCGAGGTCCGCCGGTGGCTCTGCCGCTGCAGCTCGCTGCTGAGAAAGCTCGATCAGCTCCTCGTAGCGCTTCTTGTCGCTCTTCCCTAGCTTGCCCTTGCGTTTGAACTTAAATTGGAGGTCTTTGAGCTCATTCTCCTGCGCAGTGATCTCTACGAGACGAGCTTCTTCAGCACGAGCTTCCTCAGCAGCTGCGGCTTCTGCGGCTGCTATTTCTGCCTCTGCCGCTGCTTGCTCCTCTGCTTCGCGTGCTGCTTGCTCAGCGGCCTCTTTGGCGGCCTGTTCTTCGGCGCGCCGAGCAGCATTGTCAGTAAGCTCTTTATGACGAAGGCGATCAGTCTTGAGAAGTACACCACCCCGCCTCTCCTTTTTGATTTCCAGTGCTGCGAGCTCTTTCTCCTCGGCTGTGATGAGGGCTGCGAGAGCTTCTTCGTCTAGTTCGGGCTCCACCTCGGGCTCCACCTCGGATTCGGGCTCAGGCTCTTCAGGTGCTTCAGGTGCTTCGGGTGCTTCGGGTGCTTCGGGTGCTTCTTCAGACTCGGCATCCGGCTCAGGATCGGCAGGAGCTTCGGCGACGGTGTGCCTCTCGGTCCGAAGACGTGCGTTCTCGACGAGCATAGCATAACGCTCTCTGTCCGATCGGCCGAGCTTGCCTTTACGCAGTTTCTTGGCATCTAGAGCTGCTAGTTCCGCCGCTTCGGCCTCAGCCTCGGGGTCGACCAGATCCTCGGGATTTGGCTCCGCCTCATCTTCGGCCTCTGAGGTTGGCTCCTCGACAAGCGTCGGTTCGTCAGACGCAGCTTTCCTGGCAGCTGCTTCGACTGCTCGACGCTCGATTGACTCGGTGAGTTCGATGTGCCGTTTTGTGTCGGTTTTGCCAAGCTTTCCCTTGCGCTCCTTCTTGGTATTCAGAGCAGCGAGTTCAGCCTCCTCCTCCTCTGCGGCTGGGTCAATGAAGTCCTCGGCGTCGGCAAAGTCCTCGGCGGACGTTTCGTATTGCAGGTCGCCGTCGACATCGACATCATCGCCTGGGTCGGGATACTCTTCCGGTGCTGCTTCGGGCTCTGCCTCAGGCTCTGCTTCGGGCTCGACCTCGGTAAGACTTTCGGCAGCTGCAGCTGCAACCTCCGCGCGTTCGTTTGCTCG